AAAAAAAAAAAAAAAAAAAAAAAAGAAATGCTTGTTGGCAGTAATTTCAAGAAACATTTTAACGAATAAATTATTTGATTCCGTATTATATCAAAGATGGCTTAATTATTTCTCATTAAACTTTCTCTCGTATTTATCTCAATCTTTTATCCGTGTATCGAGGTTCTTCATTTTCATAAAAATTCTCATCGCCGATATAAATTTCTGCTGTTGATAATTCACGAGCGAATGAAATCTGAATTTTCCTCTTGCACAATGCACGTATGTAAATATATTTTCACGTGTGCAAATATACCTCATTCGTTTCGTTCAATCATTGCTTCACAAATACGACATCAAACATTAGATATCGGAGAGTTTGACTTTAGATTTGATACGTGACATTATGCCAGATATGTCGGTATATATATATATATATATCTATGCAAATGATATTAATGTTCAAAGGATCGGAATTAAACAAATGATTATTTGGTGTTCAAATTTATCGGCAATTCATAGAAACCTTCGAAATCTAGAATTGCGATTGAACGCGGCAATTGCTATTCATTTGACAAATGCTTGATCGAATCGACAAAATAATTACTCGTTTCGATCACGATCAATAGTTCTTTTCAATCAATCGTTTTTGCTTTTCAATTTTCATCATCCTTTTTAAAATTTTCAATCAAGGTGCAATTATTTACCTCCAATTCAATTCAGATTCTAAAATAAATTTTGCGAAATATTTTTTTTTTAAAGAATTGCTGCTATTATCTTTAATCAACGACGTTATTGTTTCGATGTAATTAGCATAACGTAATTTCCACAAAAAATATTAACATAATTCTCTCGCCTGTTGAAAAAGATGGTAATATTTTTAATCTCTTTTAATCGCGTGTTATTTAAATACCACGAAAACAGGTTGCAAAATAGGCAAAATCAGAGTTAAGCGTAGACGTTAAATCGAAACTTTCTCGATGTATTTAACCGTTGCAACTCTTCCTAAACAAGAATATAATAATCTATACACGTGAAAATATCGTAAACTTTGGGAGAAAGTTTCATTTCGACGTTACAAACCGATGATACCTCGGATCGAATATTACGCAACAAGCTCAATTTTCAACCAATTCGATCGTGCCAATTACCACCAAAGAGGGGACACCATTCTTTCGCGACACCGATTTTCCTCGAGATCGATCAAATTCTCGCGTAATCGGTTACGTGGCTCCATCGTGGCTACAACGAACCGGTTTCCCCTCA